CTAACTATGACTTATGTGTTTCTGTTGTACTTGAGATGTTTTTATTATATCATGTAGTAAAAACAACATGTTTCCTTGTGACGTAAGCAACCTGAGATAACTGGATGTTTTTATTATTGAATCATGGTATATCGGGCTCCCTCTTGATTACAAGTTTATTTTTTTGGGACCCTCTTGGATTTGCGCCATGGACCGCTTGACTGGCCACCCCCAAGATCTAACCACAGTTGACTAAACTGCTTGAAATATTTATCCCATCCAATGATGCTATCTTGTTTATACCCTCCCACATGTAGTGTACAGGGGGCATCGATATCCTGTTAGCCGGGAAAGAGAGGTTGAGCCAATGATCCTGGGCGAAATGCACAACAATGACTCCTCTAGGACCGGTTGCCCTAGATAGGTTGTCCACTGGCAGGATGGTACAATTGTACGTAGTTGGTGTGGGGTGGAGGATATTGCAGTGCATGACAACAGCCAAGTTAAAGATCTTGGCAAATACGAATAGATACACACCCATCATCCAATGATGGCTGGTCATTGGATGTGTAGTAGCAATGTCAATGCGAGTGATTGCCACAACCACATCCGCGCCATACATGTTAGCATATCGCCAGTCGTGCTGACGAATTTCTTCAGCGATGAGTTGCCTCACCTCTGGGAACCCATCTTGATTACCATATAATGCAAAATTAAGTGCACGAAACCCACAATGACCGTCTGGCATAGGGCCGTGGATGGAAATGACAAGGTCCCGAACGAAGACAGGAAGTAGATGCAAGTGTGCGTATTCCGCTTGCCTGCTGGTTCCAAGGATATATGCGTCATGGATAGAGAATCAGCACAAATTTTGCATAATATCAGATAAATAACAATACTTATGGTTTGCTAATGTGTACCTCTATTAGGACTGTTAAATTTGTTGTTGTAATCGGGATCATCATGATCATCAAATGCCTGGTCGTCTGACGGGTACTCGTCTATCTGAGTCCCCGTGGACTTGGTCTTCGTCGACCTTGAAGACCCCGACGTTGTGCTCCCCGACTTGTTTTTCATGTTTTTTGTCAAGAGTTTTCCAACATCATCCTAACCTCCCCGAGTTGGTTAGTAATATAGCGGTGGTTTCCTTTCCATACATTGTCTGTAGACCCCCTCAAGTTGTGAAGGAAAGTTTTCAATGATGAATGTGATGACTCAACCATGTTTGTGCTCGTATTTCCTAGATGAAACACTTGTTTGGTATGACAAACTGCCCACTTCTCTCGATGCGGCCACCACACTCGCTGTATGTATTCCAACAGATGTGGATTGTCATCGCTCCATCTTGCCGTAAAGAGGCCAAACACGGCCAACATACCTTGCTCGGACCAAGAATAAAGCAAAGGACACCAACCTTCATTGTAAGGCTCGTTGACCAAATTCATCTTGTCCTTCCCAAATATTTTCATAAACTTCGCCTGCACATTAGTGTTGATGTGCCAAACACATAGCAAATGTGGGGTGTAGGGGAAGACACCAGAAACTATAGCAAGTAGTCCACCTTCATGGTCGGTGATGATGGCAGTGGGTATGTGTGGACTGAACAATAGTTTTATGCACACCAACAACCAATGATACGCCTCTTTTGTCTCCTCCTTCATGATAGCACAACATATTTTGAAATTCTTCCCAACGAGAGTAGCACCTACGATCTCCACCTACGACATTTTATACGCATTGGTCTTATACGTTGAGTAGATGAGAATCACGTATGGCCAAGCCTTCAGCATCTGGATGGAAGTCGGATGGGCAAAAAAAAAAAAGGGTCAGCACGTCGTTATCGTCTTTCATAACCTCTATATGAAAATTCTCACGTTCAGATTGCAACGCATACTAGACTGCATTCATCTCACCCATTTCGTCTCTCCTAAACATGGACCCGAGGTTATAAAATTGCCTTTTGGTGTGATGCCCTTTGTCACCCTTTTGCATGTTCATTGTCTGCTTCTGTTTCGCTGGAGATATCCCAACATCTCTCATTTGCTTGATAGATTCTTTATCCTCCTGACTGAATTTCTTCATCTGACTATGGCCTTCCGGATAAAACATCTTCTCTTGATTATGATACCCTCGCCTCAAACCGGTTTCCATTTCAATCACTTCTTGTATCTCCAGAATGTCGGTCCAAGAGCCTCTGGATCAAAAAGTAGTTCTTTAATATTAACCCTGAACATGCAACCGCTCCCTTTTGAACTTGTATTGCCACGATTCTCGTTGGTCAAATCCGACTTGTATGAATTCCTCTCCCTACTGCATCTGTCGCAATACATATAAGTTATAACACATACCTAGCTTTCTTTTGTTACGCAACTCACGTGGCTTCATCGAGCCCTTAATTAGAAAGAAACCAAGAGACATCCCGATGTTTTTTTGTCACTGTTACAGCATCTTTGAAATTAACATATTGGACGCCATTGAGGAAATGGTATGTGTAATCAATCATCTGTTAGTTCAACGTTATAAGCCATGTCTACATGCAATTATGATTTTATAACTCATTAGAGGCAAATTATATGATGCAACACAACTAAATAATGAATCAATTAATAAAAAATTAATTAACTCCATAAAATAAAACTAAACCCAATAATTTAATTAACTCTACAAAAAATAATGATAATATAACAATAAGTAATTTAATTAAATATAAACAATTAATACTAATCACAATAATTTATTTAACTCTACAAAATAAAACTAAACACAATAATTTAATTAAAAGTAAACAAAATTAACTCTGTAAAATATAACTAAATGCAATAAATTAAATCTAAACTAGCTCTAAAATTAATAAAATATTTAACTCTAAAATAAACATAACAAACATAAATAGCTAACTAAGATAACATATAAAACTCTGTGAAGTAATTTATTTAACTCTACAAATATAAAAATAAAATATAAATCAATTTAAGTTAACAGAAAATAGCGTTCGCTCGTCGGCGGCAGATGGGGTCCGCCCGCTCGTTTCGGACGTTCGACACCTACGAGTGGACGGGGTAAAATAGACGAAAAAAGACGCATACTATGTCGTCGTCGTCAGGCGATGTGATTTGACGAGGAGGTGGTCCGCTCGCCGACGATTATTCCGTCCGACGATGGTGGTTCTGCGTCAGCCGTGGCTTGCATTCGTTTGGGTGGTGGTGTGAGGGTAGGATTATTCGATTGGTTACAAAAATCTTCAATGGAATAGAATATAAAAAAATGTAGATGGCAAAAATGTAATTTCAATTTAATACACGAGCGACAAATAATAAACACACGGGCGGCAAATAACAACCCTCTAAATCAATCACATCAATGCTAATTCAACTGACACTAATTATATCATGTTCAATCGATGGACTAAGGGGTCGTTTGCTTCGTTGATTTGAAAAATGAAGGTTTTGATAAAAGTTGGGTTTTGTAAAACCATGGATGTATGAGGGTTTTAGGTTCATCATGGACTTGAAAAATATCATTGTTTGTTTAATAGATTTCATGATGGAATTGGTTAATTAAATTTGTATGTATGAAGTAAAATTTACCTTTATTGCCCTCATTGGTATGAGAAGAGAAATGAAATAGGAGGGGTAGTTTGGTCTTAAATGATGGACTTGAAAGTCCATGATCAATTCTCACCTAAATAGATGAAACTTTCAAGTTGGTGAGATTCACGGATTTGGACCCTTAGAGTTCGTGAAACCCACAGATTTGTTGCCCCTAAATGCATCAAGCAAACAATGAATTTTGGATAAAGTCCATTATAAATCTAAAAATCTCCACAATTTACCCAATTCGAGGCTTCTATTAGGAATTAAGGATCCCTGAATGCTCCAAGTGTACAAACTTTTACGAGAGCGGATCTGGTGACTAAGGGGGGGTCCTTAGTCACTTGACTAAGCCCCTCCTAGTCATTAGATCTGGACACTTCAATCCAATGGTTAAAAAGTGAGAAGGGCTATTTAATTAATGACAGGGGTAGTTTGGGTATTATGGAAAATTACGAAGTATACAAACCGGATTTACAATCAGTACAAATCATACAAACATACGAACAGTACAAACTAGAGCGACAAAACATACAAACAGATTTACAAACATTACAAACGTATGAACTGTACAAACAATACAAACTAGACCGACAAACAATACAAACCATACAAAAAGAAAAAACAACCGGGTTGACTTTCAAGGCTCCATCCCTATATAGAGGGGCTCCTTCCCAAAGTCAACCCGGGTGTTTTTTAGACATACAAACAGTACGAACATGGTGGACAAAAATGACAAACTAGACCGACAATCCATACGAACGGGAAAAAACACCCGGGTTGACTTTCGAGGCTCCATCCCTATATAGAGGGGCTCCTTCCCAAAGTCAACCCGGGTGTTTTTTAGACATAAAAAACATTACGAACATGGTGCACAAAAATGACAAAGTTTACAAACATGGTGCACAAAAATAACAAAGTTTACAAACATTACAAAAAAACCGACAAACATTACAAAGCATACAAACATTACAAAATATGTCAACAAACATCACAAAATCAGCACTGTCGCCGGAAAATTCTTCTCCGACGACGATGTTCGCCGGAAAAATTTTCCGATCAGAAAATTTTCCGATCAGAAATTTTCCGACCAAAAAAACTCTCTCTCTCTCTCTCTCTCTCTAATAATGGCGCACAGGAGCTATTTGGGGAAATTCCCCATGGAATTAATGGCGCCCAGTTGCCCGGAATTCCCCTGGCGCAATTATCGGAACGGAGGCGACGCGTCCCCGACGGTGCTGGGTTATGTTTTTTTTATTTCTTTTTAATTAAAAATTAAAAATAACTATGTAATTACTACATTGCCCTTCATTAAATTGGATTAATAGAAGCCCTTAGATTTTAATGAGGTGCAAGGGTGGAGATTCACTTAGCCATGTGACTAAGGGGGGACCCCCTTAGTCACCAGATCTTAGCCCAACTTTTACTAATAACTTGCAAAACTCCATTGCTGAGAGGTTGACATGTCTAATGTCACTTACCGAAGCTGAGCCTACCGGTGGTAGGTGATCTTTACCACCCATCCGCACGTTCTCTTGCTTAACGAGGCTCCACGAATCGGATCTACCTACTTCCTCAGCTCATTCGTATTTGATTCGTGTTTTTCACACCCTTGACCTCCCTCGCCGGCGACCCATCCGAAAGCACACTATTCGCCGGTTAGAAGCAAAGAAGCCAAATGGGGTTCTACGCAGCTTTGATGGATGCCATCCACGCCTACACCGGCCTCTCGCCGGCTGCTTTCTTCACCATCCTAGCTCTCTCGGTGATGGTCTACAAGACGGTGTGCGGCATGTTCGTCGGACCGGAGGAGTTCAACACTCCCCCTACCGTCAACGGCGTCGGCGTCCTCCCTCCGAGCCTGACGGACCCTCCGCCGGTTTCCGATCCGGTCCAGCTGGGGGATGTCACCGAGGAAGAACTGCGAGCTTACAACGGCTCCGATCCAAGTAAGCCACTTCTGATGGCAATCCAGGGCCAGATTTACGACGTTTCCCGCTCCAGGTACGTTTAGGGCTCATCGGAAAACTTCAATTGGTTTCAGGTACCGGAAATTGAAATTGGGGGTTGATCAATTTTTGTGCAGGATGTTCTACGGGCCAGGGGGTCCGTACGGAATCTTCGCCGGTAGAGAAGCGGCGAGAGCTTTGGCGCTCTTGTCATTTGACCCTCGTGATCTGACGGCGGATCTTGAAGGCCTCGGCGCCTCCGAGCTTGAAGTTCTTCAGGATTGGGAGGACAAGTTCGTTGAGAAATATGCTAAGGTGGGGCAGATTGTGTCCAAGCGAAATGATCAGCAATCTGTGGCTGACATCGGAGGAGGTAAAGCTGTAGAAGAAAGTGAGGAACTAGAAGCCAAAAAGGAGCTGTAGAAGATGGAAGGTTGGAAGGAAGTAAGTAGTTTTTACTAGACTACAGAGCTTATAGGCTAAAAATTTTAGGACAAGATGGAAGCTTGGATTAGAAAGAACATAGAATTAAGCTTACTTGCAGAAAGAGAATCAGAGCTTAAAGGAATCTCACAGTTTCTTGTGTTCAAAAGCTTGTTGTTTGTTGGAGCAAAGAAAGGAAGAGGAACGCTATGAAAATGCTGAATTTGTGCCTATAATCTATGTACTTGTATCAAATCAAAATTGCTATATACAGGGTATAAACCTTTACTGTGATGGCCATATTTGATGTGATGCTCGAAAATGGTGCTTATAGTTCTCTTTTCAGCCCAGCAAACAGTTTTTAGGATGCAGGAAGAGACTGGTGGTATAAGAATGACTAACGATGTCAGCTACGAGATGAAATTGCAGGAAAGCGTACATTGTGACAGGGACACAAGCAACAGCTGTGATGGTCACAGTAGTCCAGGTATACCCATATCCAAGGGTCATAAAGAGGGTGGAACTGAAGGCCATCATCATGGTGGCGATGGAGATGAAAAGGGTGAGAAGCCCAGTGAGCAGCTTGTTTGGTAGTGACGAGAGGAAGTCCTCTTCAGCGTATCGCGAGGTCAGCATGGAAAGGAATATCAAGATGGATGTTGCCGAAGAGACCAAGGCAAGTGCATCTGATATAGCAAAGAACAAGAACGACTTGGTGTGGAGGTATAGTGGCATGCCCGTCTCCTGGTCGTTTCCACCGGGGACGGTGAAAGCCGCTGCAAACATCATGGTGGTGATGAGTGTTGCGACGACCATGCAAGAAGATGCAGTTTCCTTCATCCACTTCTCCCCATCTCTTGCCAGTTTCTTGTGTTCTGTTGCAAACAGATCGTGAGGAGTCTTCCCATCTGCATTCTTCATCTCGGTATACAGCGGTTGCACAATTTTCTCCACTTCCTGCATTCATGGCTTGCAGAGAAAGTAACCCAAGTCAGGACGTTTTAGTTAACAGCTACCCAGAAAGAAGAATCAAGCATCAAAGCACAAGGAATTGGATCTAAACCTTGAACCATAATATTTCACGTCGCAGCTGCAAAGCTGCACCATTGTCCGTGTTCAGTCGACTTGGATGGGGAAGCTTCCCAGCCAAATGCAACATGTTATTGTTCTCTTCATCCTTATAAATAGCTATAAAATCCTTGAGTGCCCCTATCTCATTGATAAGAGTGAAGACCTTTTCTTGTCGATGCACCACCGCCAGGTGGAATATGCTTCTAGAATGTTCGTCAACCTTCCAAATCAGGTCGGGGTAAGACCGAATCAGAATGGTTAAGAACTCTACCATTCCGGCCTCTGTAGCTGTGAAAAGTAACTGTGTGGGTGTTCTGATGAACTCTTTAACACTCGCGTTGTCTAGATGCAATACCAGATCCCAAAGTCGCTTTGCCAGCTCAAGGGCTTCTGTGTGACTCAGCTTCATGTTGTATATCAGAGTAGCATCCGGGACTGCAGAAAGGTTCCAATAGTCTGTCAAGGCAGTTCAGCTACAGAAAGTAGGGAGCAAGATGAGAAGATGCTACTAACTTACCCAGATGGGCGACACTTCTTCCTATTGCTGGTTTTGTTGTTAGTAATGTCGTCATAAGAGAGCACAAAAATTAGTGATGTCAAAAGAGGAAACAAGACTGTAAATCGTCATCACAAGAGCACAAGGCTGGCAAGTTGGTAAGTGTTCTCTTGCACAAAAAGCTGCAATATTTACATATTTTCGGAAACACTTTCACTTCTTTGAGTTGGTTACATAGTCTATAGTTTGTCATAGATTAAGGTTTGAGTGCGTTTGATTTGATCCCTGATCTCTTGGGTTCCAAGTAAAGGAAACTGCACGCACAGACTCAATTTGTTTTTGCCTGTCAAAAGACATGCACTTGTATGAGTTCTGTGTATGTTGCTAGCGATAGAGAGAGAAAGTACCTTGGAGAATGCGTCGGGCTAGACGAGCATCTTGTATAGAACCAGAGGACCCCATAAACGGCACCTGGATACCTTCAAGATACCATGAAATAGTACTCAGCAATCTTGATCATGTAGAGCATATACAAAGATCCATGATATAGTTTTTACAATTCTGATTGAGTATTGACCACAACGTGATTTCTGGAACATGATCCCCCATAGCATCATCACAAGGGACGGCAGGGGCCATGTTACTGATTCACGTTAGAACGACGAAATGTGTAAATAGTGCAGAAGGCGGAAGGCCCAACTAACATGAGTAGATGCATCTCCTCCAAAGGCTCAATTGAGTTCCACTGTAAAATGCTCCTGGCTTTCGGCACAACACATGAAGAGCTGATTCACCGTTTGCATCTCGAGCTGTAGCTAATTCTGGATGGTCACGGAGCAGAACCAAAGCTACATCTGGTGGAAACATAAGTTCTCCAGATATGGTTAGTATCTATATCTCTCTATGTATATCTGCTGTCTAGTAAACGGCAACATGAAATTAGTAGCTTAACAAGTAATAGAAGAAGATAAGGTCCAAAGTACCAAATAGATCAGATGTGATAGCAGCAACAAGAAGTCCGATTCGATCCTCTCCAGAAAGAGCATTGTCCTCTGTAACAGTGTAGAGATACCAAGCCATATCTCTTTTCCCCAAAAGCACAGCCATATAGAGAGGCGTTGCTCCTTTACTGCCTCTAACTAGCGGCAAGCTTCTGTTCTTGTTCACCAACACTTTTGCTGTCTCTGTGATACCAGCAACCGCAGCGAAACACAGGGCTGTATTCCCTACCTTGTTCTGCAGAGCCAAGTCATCTACTGTCATCTTCTTAACCAGCTTTCTAACAAACACAGTGTGCCTTGCACCAGCTGCAATGTGAAGTGCAGTTTCTAGCCCCCTCGTGATGTAAGCGCGAATAGCTGTGGGGTGCCACTGCAGGTAAGCCTTGGCCGTTCTCCAATCGCCTTTAAGTGCAGCTAGGTAAAGCGGAACATGTCTTTGATGGCCCTTGAATCTTTTCTCCCCTGCACAAAGTTTCAACCATCATCCCATAAACACCCAATAATGTCACAAGTGTTTTCACACACATCAAACATTTTCTGTGCTTACTCTTGGAACCATACCTAACTTGGCTCCTTCATATTTCATATCTGTTGGAGCATTCATATCTAAAGCCGAATTCTCATTTGAGGCCTGCAACGTCAAGACAGGGTGGAACCCAGCCACCTTACGATCCCCGGAGGTCCGAGCAGGCGAAGCACGAGGCAGCTGAATGTCTAGGCTTCGCCGCACTCCTGAGAAAGGGGAACTCGAGGGCTCCAAGTTTGGGTTCCGATTATTGGAGTAGAGTGCGTTATCATACATGACTAGATTGGCTGAGCGATCTAGGGAAGACATGGGAGAAAAGTTTGGGAGAGAGAGATCCCTCACATCACAAGAATATGATCTGAAGTGGAGGGAAGACCTCTGATCAGATTTGTACTCAGAACCATCCGTTGATTTTGTATCAGGGAAGCATGACTTGATGGAGGGGCTCTTCCCCAGTTGAAAAGGGTCGGTCTTTTTTGACCCCATTGTTTCTGTCTTTCTCGGATGTCCCTTCAACCAAACCGATCGATCATCAAAACATAACAGCCTGCGATCAACAGTAATCTCGGCGAAGTGATGAGATTACCTGAGGATAATGGCGACGGTGGAAATGGGAGGAACGTTGCTTTGGCGCTTCACTGTGCTGACAGAAGGGGGAAATGTGGTAGTGACAGAGCCAGAGCCAGAGCCAGAGAGACATCCATTAAAACTCGGACTCGGACTCGGACTCGCACTCGTTCCTTGCCTTTCTCCTTTGGCGCAAGGAGAGAGAGAGAGTTGGCAGTAGCCACGAAAGCATGTATAGGATTTACGACCTTTTGAAAGCATGGTTGTTAGTCGTTACTAATAACAGGACGGATCAAGATCAGTGCAACTAGGGGAAGAAGAGATTCAACATCCAGCTGATATTACGGGTTTGTTAACTAAATCAACGAACTTCCCTTCAAAAGCAAAACTACGAACATGCTCCCTTTACTTTGTTCCATTTACAACTTTAGTCCCTTTACTTTGACTTTTTAACTGTCAAACCATGAAGTCACCTGATATGCTCATGAGCTCATCTCTTTTAAGTTTTAATTCACTTGGCATAGCATTGGTATAGGATGAGATCATATTCAGTAAGATTGTTTCAGATCGGCAGAACATAATGATACATCTAGAGACTAGAGGGCTTATTACCATGACTTTGGGGCATGTTATCGTCCTAGTAGCCACATTCTCCACAACAAACACTATCCATGTCACTTATGGCTCCTCTCGTCATAACTTAAATTTTGGTGGTCGAGTATACGTATAACAAATGACAGTCTTCACTTCGCGAGGCACTCAAACTTTCCCATTCATTCGCTATAAACTGGGGTGTTTTTCAGCCGAGCCAGGTCGTTTCTGTTCTATGGTAATCTCCCTCTAGTCTAGAATTTCTACTTGCCATCCATCCTACAGAGAGATCTCCGCCAAGTTGGGCTTTTCACGTCCAGTTTCTTACCTTGTGAATCCAACTTTTGAAAAACACGCACCCAGGAAGTCGGAACTACACCAATAATATTGGGAGATTATTAGAATTTTAAAGCTTATCAGACTACACAAGCAGTGTTACTTATCTTAGTAAAATATATGAACGACTCAATTGACAATGTTCTCAAGATGATGGAGAATCCTACCACCACATAACTATTTGTACAACCGAAAACAAAACAAATATAAGCAAGATACCAAAGATGGACCAGATCTCATCAATCTCAAAATCGACAAAGAAACTTTAAGGATCGTATATGAATGTCACTTTTTTTCACTACTCCAGCTTCCAAAAACCGAGGAAATCACCATCTAAAAGCCGAAAAATTGTAATACTATTTTACTCGGTGAGACGGAGTGAATCTTATCAGACTACTTGGTAATTCTCCGTAATCAACTGCGTCCTCTGAGAGAATTTTGGAGGAGCTCCGCCTCTGAGAGGAATGACAGTGGCAACCTGCACTCCAACAGCATTAAGATGTTTCAACTTTTTCAGCATCGGCCAGGGTAGGTACTAGGTACGTTATCACAAAACCCAAATGAGAGAAGGGATAGCAGGACACAAAAAACACACCTTCACATCACTGTATGTGCTAGCAGCTGAAAATCGGACAGAAATGGGGAAGAAAGCCGATGCATCTGCTGGGGGTACAACGAACTCCATTGATCCACTGCAAAAAGAAAAAAGTGAAAACCAAATACTGCGTCAAATCCAAACTAGATTGAGGATACACTATCCAGAATTCTTCAACTTTCAGCAGGAACGACATATAACATAAGATTACCTGCGGTTCGAATTATCGATAAGAAGAATAGACCATTCCAAAACCGAATTTCGGGAATCAAACCTACAAGTTTGAAGACACATGTCAGTGGCACCCAACACTCATACAACTACATGTGCATTCACATTAACATGCACAAAGATTCACAACATCCAAAATTATGCACTGCTCTTTCATCCAGCTTTTTTTTTTAACTGCCCTTAATTTCGTGTAGAAGACGATTCACTACTATGGCTTACTGCTAGAGAAGAAGCTCCATTAAACCCACAAGAAAGTATTTTTCAAGATAAACACACTTTATTACAGGTGTCATTTCCCGTTATATGAGAACTCCACTACATTTTAATCACCTAGTATAGAAACAAAATTTAGTTCTTTACCTCCACTCTCCATCAACCTGCCTGACACGTGGTGCCTCTCTTAGAGCTGGAAGAGGAACTGAGATTAACACATTCTGCAGATCAAAGGCGGACGAAGATTCATATTCAATGCTGACATATGTCTCATTTCCAGACACAGAGGGCCAGCAGTTGACTGCAATATAAATAGACCTAGTAGATCAGTACAGGAAAATAAGTTTGAACTACAACACAAGAACAGAGGAGCACAAGAAAGCACCCACTTATTAGTGGCACCATTGACTCATCTCCACTTTGCATTCTCCACTTCAAAAGACCAACTCCAGCAGCATCACCAGTTTGACCAGTAGGAAAAGGCCTATTTGGGTCCTTCAAGCCCAGAATATTTTCATTTGCAAATAGTTCCTTGTTCATATTCGGATGAGTCTTGAAAATGACACCTTGGTTCCGGCTAGTTTCAATCTGAATGAACGAAACAAAGTCAAAACGTATCACATAATTACATCTCAAGGACAGATAAGTAAAACCTGAAGATAATACAACCAATCGATAGACACAGCTGCTTCATGTGACACAGAACTGTAGTATAGCATAAAAGACCAACTCAAAGTGAAATGCAAGTGTTCTTCTTTGTTGAAAATGTTAATGATATAAAAAAGCTTTAAACTAAATATAGAAAGACGATATATAGTTGCACAAAAAAAAAAAAGACGATATATATATATAGTATTAACTATTAAGACTATGGATTACAACCTAGAGGGAAGATGTTCAACTAGAAAAACATGCCCAAGTGCTCAGAGGGGAGGCAACTTTGAGATTTAAAAAAAAAAAAACAAGTTGGGGAAAAGACGGAGAGAAAACCTGAACTTGGATCAGCCCATCTTCCTGGTTAAGAATCTGAAGTGACAATTGTCCTTGAACATCAAAGTTGCTGATTCCACCATCCCGTTTCAGTGTAACATTCAGCTTCTCTTCAACAGTAAGAGTGATCGGGTCAGTTAGTGGTGCTGCAACAGCTCTTACTTGACCTGTGCTCGGTTGCACATCTTCATTGATGACTTCACCTTCTGCCTTCAGAGACTCCAAAAACTGGTTTGTCCTTTGAGTTTTACCAAGTTGCATGCCAAGACCTTTAGCGGGTGCAGTAGCAGATGAGGGTGGACGACCTGGCATGACCAAGCAAAAAGTGTTAAGAAACGTACCACGCAGTAAAATGAGTTAAGTGAACTAAGCAAACAAAAAAAATTGGCAGCATAGGGAGCATCAACCAAAGAAAAGTTCTTAAAGTAAAGGGCAACTATATGAAAACCTTTCTGTTCAGAAATCAGCAACTAACAAACACGATTCACATTCATCAGCCTAAATAAAGATAGGATAACAAGTACAGTCACAAAATTAGCACAATGTCACAAGACGCAAAATAAACCTTTTGACTTGCTAGAGAACGAGTCAACATCAGTGTTCAATCCAAACCCAGAACCACTTCCAAAACCACTCCCACTGCTAGAAAGACTCATATCATTGAAGCTACTCTCGACTCTTCCAGAGCCCATTGATTGTAGAGACATGAATCCTCCCTTCTCGCCCCGATTCTTTTCAAGCTGAAAGTAACAAAAGATGGTAGCAGAACTTCAACCAGCATTCACTGTATTCAATGAAAAGTTGACGGGTGCAATTCAGAAATTGAACGGCACCTTGCTTTTGTCAATCTCACTAGCTTTTCGCTTCATGACATCCTTGGTTTCATTGATCTTGCTCTGAAGCACCAGCTTGTGCAATTTCTCTTCATGACTCTCCATCTCACAGTACTGCTTCACCTGGGCAACAGTTACATTGTCCTTGTGCCCAAGAGAGATGACCTCATCAAATGCAAAAATCAACTCGAAAGCTGTCTTGCAAATACCCTCTTCATCAAGAGACATAGCATACTCGGGTACCTAATTTAACATTAAGGATATCAATTGAAAGACTTGCCAGTTCATCAGTCGAATACAGTAGGAAGGCCACAGAAGGATCTATTCAAAATAAATAAATAAAAACAAATTGAAGGAAATAAAACATAGGCCAGAAGAAGAAGGATACCAGCTTAGAGAGGAGTCGAAGAGTCTCAAGATCTTCAAGAATGTTGCTCTGCTTATTTGTCACCAGCAGTAAGTACATAAGCTCAATTGGCTGGTACACATAGCGCACATTCTCAGTCTCAACATATGTATGTTGCTTTCCTGTACCCACCAACTTGGGGAATGCAGCCAGAAGACCTTCAATCCGTATACGAGACATGTCCACAAACTGCCTGGAGACAAGAACTGGACAGAAACAAAGAACTGTTAACACAACCAGAAACTGGAATGTTTCACTTCCACTACCAATAGCCTCTATCACAAATGGCAATACAGATACACCCACTTCAATAGCCCATACTTCATGAACAGCTGCCTTACAGTTCAACACATTAGTAAAAGTTGAGCCAGGACTCAGGACATGGTTCATATTCCAAAACACATTAGATTTGGCACTATACAAGCAAAGAACTCAAAAACATGACACTGGATCATAAACTCGATTTAACTTCCCATACAACAAAGGTGCCTTGCAGATCACAACATTACGCAGCATGAACTGCATGTTTAGAACGAAAGGACGACGCTCTGAAGCTGGCAGAAAAGAAAAACACTACATTGCACGTAAAGGAACAAGAAGACTGACCTTTCCCAGACTTGGTTACAATAGAAGCTGCAAGCACAACCTACAGAGATGGAGTGAAATACGCAATTCAGGTCAAAGCTCCTCCAATGAAAGAGAGAAAGAACTAAAAAAAGTGTGAAGTTTACCATCTTGACTGATAGGACAATGAACGAAGATACACCAATAAATGCCGCACACACGAGAGTTCAACTTCACAACCTAGAAACCGAAAATTCAGTCAGCAGTACGAACTTATCAATTGCAAAAGCACCGGGCTCTGAATCAATCACAGAAGAATCTGAATTGAATCTAAATCTGAAAATTCCAATGCTAATGGATGCATCGCCGAACCTAAGAGATCTACATAATTGAAGAAGCGCCAAGCTCAGATCTGTATTATCAGTTTAACAGGCCGCAGTGCCACTCCGTCTCGCCTACCGAATGAGGGAAAACGAAATAAAACTAAGCGAGCAGTACGAATTCGAAGTCGACAGATTGCAAATTCAGAATGCATCAACAGAGAAGAACCGAAGGAACAAGATCGCGCCGAGATAGAGGTTCAAGGAAATTGTAGAAATTACTATGACGCTGGAAGAGATCTGAAGAAGAAGAAGAAACTTACCTCTGGATCTACTAATTTCAGCTCTTCTCTCCTGAATTGCCAAGGAAGAGAGGAGGAAGAAGCAAGTGTGCGTTTCTCGCGATCGACATGGCATTCGATTTCTCGAACAAAGTGGTTTTTATCGGGGATCCAACAGGGCTGACTTACGAATTAAGTTTCATGGTGGAAGGCCCATTTAAAATCCAAATACGACACTGTGGATCTTTATCGGCCCGCTAACTCGCAGTTTTTTTAATTTATACTTACATTTTTATTTGATTATTATATTATAATTTAACGATATATATCACCCAGGAACAAAAAATAATTTATCAGCCATAAAAAAAATTAACGAGCTATTTTGAATTTTGATGGATACTGTAACACTTTAGGCAAATCCCACTTCGACAAAGCACGGGAGAGATCCATGATTCATAAGTAGGAAACCAGCTTTAACTAAAAAGACAGTTTTGGGGTGTAATGGAGAAGTTCTTGTGAGAACTCCGAAGTTAAACGTGCTCACTGTGGAGTACAACAAGGATGAGTGACCTTATGGGAAGTCACCTTGAATTGCACCCCAAGTTGAAACCGTGAGGGTGTGGGCCCAAAGCCGACAATATATTTGTCGGGAAAAGGTTCGGGATGTTACAAGTGGTATCAGAGCTTTTTGCGACCCCTTGAACGATGGTGGGGCAAACCTCAATGAGGGCGTTGAGTCCCAAGGAGGGAGGGGGGTGTATGTAACACCTTAGGCAAATTCCACATCGACAAAGTACGGGAGAGATCCATGGTTCATAAGTAGGAAACCATCTTTAACTAAAAAGACGCGTTTTGGGGTGTAATGTAGGAGTTCTTGTGAGAACTTTGAAGTTAAACGTGCTCAATGTGGAGTACAACAAGGATGGGTGACCTTATCGGAAGTCACCTTGAAGTGCACCCCAAGTTCAAAACCGTGAGGGTGTGGGCCCAAAGCGGACAATATCTTTGTCGGGAAAAAGTTCGGGATGTTACAGATACTGAATGACAACAAAAAAAAAAAACTGGCGCAATTGGAGAAAGACACATCATACTAGCAAATCCATCCTAGTTAGAAAACCACCTCTTTTGTTGGAGTCCTAGGTGGTATATGAATTACCGACATTACACCTATTCAGTTTTTTTTTTCGTTGCATGTACGCAAGTTTTATTTTTACATTGGAATGAGAAAGATAAGTTAGAGTGTTGTTATTTGTTAAGCCCTAAGATATACAATTTTTCTTCGATCAGATTTGATAAGTGGAATTATCAGAAAAAGGTTACAAATGCTCTTCATGCACACATTCATGGTGAACTCGGTGACAACATCGACCACCTTATTAGCTTCTTTTAAGGAGTGACTCAAAAATATTATCAAGGTGGACCAAGATGTGTGTGTATGACAGTCATCGAGAAGTGCCCCGAAGGATAGAAGACAAATTTGGAGGCTAAATGACATGTTTGGTCACTCCTTTTATTAATTTGTTTCATATACGCCTCTAACAAAGTTTTATTGCAATAATGCTTATTAACTCTACATTTTCGTTTAACCACTGGTCACTCTCCGTCAAACTCCGTTAACTTTGTCCGATGTAGCATTCAACTATCATATTTGACACGTTAAATAAGTGAGGTGTCAATTACAGAAAGAAAAAATTTCTAACTCATCTTCCCCCCCCCCCCCCACCGCGATGGAATTCAACTCCTCGTCACACCATTATTATATGCTTTAATAATCATCTTCAATTCCCGATTGTTCTCTGAAGACCAATTCCCCCCCCCCCCCCCCCGGGATCTATGCCAACAATGCCCTGAGATTAGGTTTCTGATACGAGAGGTCAGTGATTCGGGCTTAATTGTACACTTTTTACCCTTGGTTTCCTTAGTCGTTTGAGACATTTTTATTCCGAATGGTTTGGTTTTACGTTGGGTTTTGTCTTGTTTTTGTTTCAGTCTATAGCAGGAGGAACCAACCCCAGAGTCGAAAGTTGGACGAAAAGGTGCAAAATCGGGTCAAAGGATGGAGGCAGTGGCAGATCACGGTAGAAGTAGTGAGTTAACGGTCAGGGAATCCCCCGGCCTCTCTTCACCTTCCCCTTTGATCCTACTTGAGTCTCCAGGTGTGTTTTCAACTTTTAACTTGTTAATTCGTGGAGAATCGGATTAGGGTTTTAGGTGAGGGGAAATTTGAAATTTAGAGAATGAATGTTGAAATTGGGCGAGGGGAATATCATATTGGGTCAATTGAATGTTGAGCCTTGGTGGGAAGAATTTGGCATGATTTTGCGGTTTGGATTGAGAATTCCCACCAAGTGTAGTATAAGGATAATGATTTGATATACTTGTTTGCATGATGGTTGAGAGCCATTGAGGAATGGTTTGGGTTGTTTTATTAATTTGGCCGAACCATGATTCACCCAGAACCATGTCTCAATGAGCTTAATTGTTTGAAATTCGTTCTCGTGAAGGCCTTCAAAGGCATAAGACCTTAGTGGAATCCTAAGTGTGGGGGGTCTTTTCTCCCCTTTGATGTGAGATTGACAGATATATTCCACGTATGGTGTATGTCTTGGATGTTTTGAAGGATGGTTGATGCGGATCACACGTATGTTCACTACCTGGTGAACCACGAGAAATATGGTACCAAGTTCCAACAGTGGAGGTACAACGAGGTGGGGCCTCATTGGGTGTTGGACCTGGACATGTTCAACCTATTCAGGTGTCGGGCAGCGATGTCGAAGGTCCTCAGTCATCCCTAGTAACGTCATCTCCTGGCATTGACAAGCTCATTTACCGCGAGCTCTGCGTGGAGTTCTAATCCACCTTCTCCCACGTCATCCAATGGAGCAAGCGCAGCCACCCGTACGTGGAGTTCATGTTGGGGAGTGAGCAGCATGTATTGTCTTATGATGGCTTTGTCCAAGCCATGGGGCTCCTCCCCACACACATGATGATGAGAGAGACGCAGTACACAGCAGACTTCCACTACCTGGCAGCCTACCAGGCCACCTGTCGCCCAAAGCACCACGACGATGAGTTCAAGGACTCCAACACCAATGCAGTGAAGCTTCGGACGTCGTGGAGGATCCTGCACACACTTTTAACAAAGTCTATCATCCCCAGTCTGATGTCGGGTCACATGATCAATAATAGAGGGTTGATAGCCCTCCATATCCTAAACAGCCCAGCAGAACCACTCCATCTAGGATTAGTGGTTGCCACCACCTTCGCCAGATGCCAGGGGCGGGATCGAGTTGATACAATGCATTATTTGGGGGGCATCATCACGAGGCTAGCCCAACACTTCGGGGTTGATGTGACGAGGTGCTCCATCATTGGCCGGATTGAGCCATTTCCAGTGGAGACGCTCTACAACATGAAGCTGGTGCTCCAGGGAGAGTGAGGGATTGAATTCCTCGAGGGACTTCGACCTTCGGCCACTCTAAGGCCACAGGTCGACCCTGCTCCCGTGGAGCCTGATCTAGAGGTCCCTCTGCCTGAGCAGCCGCCTACCTAGGCTCTAGGCCTCCACTGGCTTACCGCACCACCATCATCAGCAACATCATCATCATCCGGAGCCGGTCTTTCCTCCTCTGTAGCCCACCTCGAGCAGCGTGTGGATCGCCTCGAGGAGCAACTTTTGGGAGTCACCACTCAGCTCGACCGATCCACCGACCTCCTAGAGAGGATTGCTCGATGCCAGGGCGTCCTTTCAGACGAGAGCATGACCTTGGATCCACAACGAGGTAGTGGCAGAACCGATATCTTCCACCCACTTCTCCACTTGAAACCTTGAACCCTGTTTTTTTTTTCTTTCTTTAGTGTGTGAACTAGTATTTTGTGAATTTTTCTTTCCTTCGAATCGTGATGTGGAACTTTGTTATGTGTAATAACCTCGCCTCGAGCGAGAATGCACGTGTGTTCGTGTTTTGTTTTGTCTTCTCTTTAAAGCTCAAACATTCTACTTCGGGAAATTGTCCAACTTTCATTCACCAAGCCATGCGTTAACATCGTTCTACCCCCTATTTTACTCCATTGACGACAATGTCGAGCTTAAGTTTGTTGTGGGGGGGGGGGGAGTTTATTATTATGCTTGTGTGAATAAATGAATGCTTGGAGCCTTGATGTATGCCCAAATTTGAAAATTTTGAGGGCTCCAAGCAATGCATGATCAAAATGGCCGATTGGTGGGTGAATCTCGTGTTTATTTGGCATTGATCTTGAATTGTTTCATGTGATCAAGTGCATCCTATTATGATGACTGAGAGTTGCATAAGGTGTGTGCAAAAGTTTAGTTCTCATGTGTGCTTAAATGAATGGATGTCTTGACTTGGTTACTCTTCGATCACAATTGCATTGCATAGAAGTTCGTGAAATTGGAATAGATGATTGGGTGTAGGGGTGTTCAAACGGATTGGTTATCGTGGTAACCATACTAACCGGTAGCATTCGGTTAATTTGGTTTGGTTAGGCTCTGTTCACTTCCATTTTTGTTTCCTGTTTTTTGTTTTCATGTCATAAATTTGGCAACTGAAATGAGAAAACTTGTTTATTTTTCATTCTGTTTTCTATTCGTTTCCAACTATGAAAACATAAAGTGGCAACTTCCTGTTGTTTTCGAAAACTACAAAATGTTATTTTCACCTGTTTTCAAAATCTGTTTTCTCAAAAACAGGAAACAGAAATGAAAGTAAACAGGCTCTTAATTTATATAATTGATCTGGTTTTGTTAAACAATTTAGCTTATTTGGTTTAGGTGGTTTGGTTTGGTTTCAACACTGCTAACCAATGAAACCAATTAACCAATTAATGATACACCTAATATACAAAATAATTTATACTTCCATGCAACCAACCAAACTTTCTTGATTCCCTATTTTATTTCCATGTGCACAACAAACCAAAGCATTTTCGGTCAAAAATTAAATGGGCCTGCCTATTTACTAAACCAAAACATTTTGAACAACTACTAGACTTTAGGATTACGTACAATACCATGATAGTCACCTCAAACTATGTATAGTTTCAGTGTTTTGTAGGAGAACTTTAACTTCCGGATGAGTGGTATTGATATGTATTTAATATTTATGCCAAGGGTTTGTTGTAAGCTAACTATGTTAGGTGCAAAGATGATGAATGATGTATTAACTCGAATGATGATGATAAT